TGAAAGTATCCATATTCACAGATTTTAATTACTTTTTTTATAAAACTCGAAGCTGTTAAAAAAAGTGATTTTTTCAGGCAGCTGCCACTGCATGTAAACACTTTTTTCCAACATTTATATAGTTCCAGATTTCAAAAATTCCCKGAAATTCATACCTCTAGACTTGGATAAACCAAAGATTGAAACCTTCGTCCAAAACCCATCCTTTGTTTAAAAAAATTTAGGGTTTATTTACGTATCCATTGGTACTTACATCGCTCTTAACAATATAATCAAGAGCAAAATTGAAAAAGGCAGAAATAATAGCGAATAAATAGCTATTTACTTGGAATTTTCATAATCGCATTCTTTATTATTGTATTACTACTATTATAGCATATCTAGAGCAGGGTAGATAATTGCTGAAAGTGGAGATTTCAACTAACAATCTGCCTACTGTTGTTTAAAGAAAGTGATATTTTGACGTGAGAACTGTTGTTTGAAAATATATTAAATATACTATAAATCGAAAYATCTTTCGTTTCCAATGGGCTTCATATCAATATGATTTTGTTTCACTTTATACAATTCTCAAAGGATTCTAAAATGGTCATTATCAATACAACATACACACTAAAGAAACCGTCGAAAAYCGATCTTAAATTTCCCTAAAAAAGTTAAATTACCCAATTGTAAACCTCCTAATGGTATAGTTTAAAAATCGTTATGGTCGAAAAATTGTTTCTCGGCAACTAGATTTTTTGGTTAAGTATKGAGGTGCGAACGAAAGCTTCAAACGTGTAATTAAAGTATAACAAGCARTAGACCTGATGACTTTGAGCAGTTTTTGGAACCGTTAAACCGTATTAAAGGGTTACAAGGGTTCCATGGATCCAAAAAAAAAAAAAAAAAACTCTTGTCCGATTTAAATCCATTATAACTCTAGAATATTGTTCCGATCCGAGCAATAGCTTTGGAGATACAGCCTTATAAAAATTACGYTCTCGAGATCAGCTATATAGTCACCTAAAAATTTAAAAGCTTTTTATTCAAAGCTTTATTTTTAAAGGCGGTTTTTACGATTTCTCAAGAACTACTTAGCCGTTTATAATTAAATTTTACAAAGGACTTCAAAATATAATTTAAAATACAAATTTCAATTTTTTTTTTGTTGTATTTTTGCCTTTTTTTACTTTTGACGTTCCTGTAAGAAGCTCTGATCTTGCAATAGTAAACAGTTTTAATAAAATATTGAATTTTTAATATGAAAAATATATATTGAAAATTCGACAAAACCCATGTAACCCCTTGCATCGGAACATTTCAGATGAACTTAAAGATGCCATAACTAGCTGGCATGTTATGAAGTCATTGGATGCACAGGGCATACCATCTGCAGCGATCATTATATAGCATTATTGAAAGGTTTACTGAACTAAAAAATTGTGAAAATTCTTGCAAAAGCATCGTAGAACCAAAATGATATGAAAAAGCTGAAAAATCGATATTTGTCTCGATGCTTTGTCTTCCTCTCTGTAATAACCCAAAACGACACAAGTTCTTGTTTTTAATAACAACACTTCCAAGCAGAGTTACTAACAACTTCGAAGGATTTGCAAGCAGTCTTGAAGCAAAGCGTATATTAAAATATTAAAATAGTTTCTGGAAGTCAAAGCTTATCCCGCTCTAGCGCTTTTATTGTTGGTACCATACTTCGGTTGAACTTATGCTAAACAAATAACTTTTGCACAAATTAATAACCATTATATTATATATACACTCAAAGAAATCAGCAAAGTATTTTACTTGGGGAAAACCCCAATAATTCGTCTTAAGATTTCCATTAAACGCAAGCAGTCAGATCATGAGCTCGAGCAATAAATTTCAATACTTTGCAAAGCCCAATTTCTTACTTTCTTTGCACGCATTTAAGCCAAACTTGTTGAATTCACGCATGATTAAAGTTTTGTAGAATTGCATTTTTTGCTTTGCTTCGAGTAAACTGAATAAGTTCGCTGTGCCGTAGTAAGCAAGTTAATTAAGCGTTCAGCTTGCAATATTCCGTCTGAATTGGAAATTTTGTCRACTTTATTATATTTTTGCGATATAGTTGAGTATTGAGTGCAATATTTACGAAATTTGTTGAATTTTTTATAAATGTACACATTTTTGTAATAAAAGTATATATGGGAAGCATCCTTTAAGATGCTTGCGCTTGACTTGAATTTCAACAGACTGTCACTGCCAATACCGCCTTACAGCGTATTCTCGCCAATGCGAGRTAATTACACAAGAGATTCTCCATTGTTTCCCTTRTGTCCTGCTCYAGACATTYTCTGCAATCTTCTCRATMTGTCACCCCATCATGTYTTTACAGTCTCTTCTATCGAGTGCCAATAGGAATTTCRGTCAGAAATATAATGATTCTTTAATCTGTCGCAGCATGCTTCTCAATCCCGTGGAGAGACATCATTTTATACATTTGAGAAGCTATGATTATAGATCCCTATATTATTAGCGATCGAACAAAGAGATTGTTTAATCAACTCAAAGAAGCATTCGTCGGCAAACTTTTTCAGTTGCCAACTACTTCAGAAATGCCTTAGATTTCAGTGTTGACGGCGAAGTTTCTAAGATAAGCGAAGGGGTCTGCAGAGTTGAAAGTATCTACTATGATAAGCTAGAATCACTAAACTAATTTCTTGGACTTAATAAAATAAATAGTTATTTTTATTAAAAATGGCGATTGTGGAAAATTGGCTCATTTATTCGATGGTAATTTTACCTTAAGAACGGTAGTTCTTTCTAATAACGGTAAATTGTTTTGCAATCTCAGCTTCGAAACAGCAATATATAAAACTGAAGTTGAAATTGTATATTATTCGAAGATAATATAACTAAGTTTTTGCATAATATCCGTATAAGAGCCAGCAAATTTTTCAAATCTAACGGAAACAATGTCATCAGGAGAGAAAATGTATTTATGTAAAGAAAAGGGAAATTCGGAAATGACATATGATTGGATTGGAAAAAAAATCATGCTCGGCATTTGGTCAAATTGTAAGTTTTTTTTTTAATATTCAATCGATGTATTGGTTTGGGTTAGGCACAAATAGTCGATAGTTTCAGCTTGTAATGTTCAGAAATGTATAAATTTAATTTTCGATTAATTTTATAATTTTATATTAAAACTACTGTCATAAGTAGATACCCGCTATCAAGTCTCAATAATAAATCTCGCTCATTCAATTTATTAACATTCAACATCTTAGAACTTTAACTGTGGTCTCTAGAATTTTTCACACCTTGCGAGACTACAATTCTTGTGGATTGTGTCGGGCTAGTTTGAATAACTCAAACAGCTATGCGTAAGTTCATGTCTAGTAGCCAATGGTGCTCGTAAAATTTATGAATATACTGAAGACTGCTGATAAAAAATCGTATATTTGAAAATTTGAATTTTTAAGAAAAACGCGAGGGTAGCCTGGCGGGCCTTCACCTAACATGATTTTGAACCGAACGAACTTACTTAAAGAAAACTTAAAAAATAAAAAAAAAACAGTTTTTTTCAATGTATAGAATCACACTTTGAGCATAAAAATATAAACCAAAAAAAATTTTTTGTAATAAATTTTTTATACCAAAAATTCCGAAAAAAAAATTTTACTATTAAGAGCTTTAAAAATACTCCTATTAAAAAAAAATATTAAAAAAAATGTCATTGTAATATAAAATATAATGATTATATTCGAGTGTTTAATATATTATATATATGTATGTAAGTCTACGAGATATTTTATTCTAATTAAAAAGGTTAACCCTACAAACTGAAAAGAAATCGTTTGTGCAACAAAACGTTTAAAATATTTTAAAAAAAATTACAACTCGCCCACAACAAAAAATTCAGGTCATGGATACTATGGACCTTCACCTAACCTGATTTTGAACTGAACGACCTTAAAATAAAAGCCTGTCAACGATTTTTGGCAAATACCGAACTTCGACAATAAAATTTAGGTTACTGCCGGCCCGACTTTTCTGTTCTTTTTGCACACCTATATTCATTAATAACAAAATTCACAATTCGGCAAAATGTAGTTATTACAACAAGCAAATTTCGTTTGTTTTATTTAATTATTTTCGCTAACAACAGCAGAAAAACGCCACAACAGCGTAAATGCGTAAGCTTACAACGCTTAAGGTTAGACTTTTGTATAAAAGACCCGCCGCTTGTGGTTTGCAATCATCAGTTCACTTCGGTAGCTTCACAGTTCAAGTTATTACAAGAACACAACACAAAACTAAATCAAAATGAAATCCTTCGTTTGCATTGCTATCTTCGCCGCCATCTTCAGCGTTGCATTGGCCGGTCCCACAAGCAATAGCGGTGCCGCCGCTGCCGCTGCCGCCGAGCAAGAGGCCAAAGCCGAGCAAAACGCACAAGCTGTGAACCTCCAGTCAGTCTACGATTTGACACGTTTCCGTAAATCCGCTTATGGTGGTGGCGCCGCCGCTAGCATTCCAGCACCTCCCTGCCCCAAGAACTACCTCTTCAGCTGTCAACCTAACTTGGCGCCAGTCGCTTGTGCCGCCCCAGCTGCTGCTCCATCCTACGGCTCAGCCGGTGCCTACTCAGCGCCCATCCCAACTTATGTCTATTAAGTTGTGGACCATCAAGGATAATGACAAAGAACAAGGGCATACTCTAGCGGACTAATRCATGGAGATAAGTAATAGCTGTGAACGCAGTTAATTATTTTATTGAAAAATATAGAAAAAAAAGTGAAGCATATAAAAGTTTGAGTTATCATTCATTATTAATTACTAGTTGGGTGTCTTGGCTTGGGTTGGCAACAAAAATATTTTCTAGAAAATATTTACATATTTCTGTTAATGAAGCAGCAAAATGTTGACACGGCACTTTTCCGAGTAAACTATATTTGGTATTACGTCTTGAACTCTACTAGGTTTTAACAGTTTTTCGACACATTGAACTTCCACAGAAATTCGCTTAAACAGGTGTGTAGACGTACTTTTTGAGAATCGGTGAGAAGCGGATAGACTAGATGAAAAGCGAGGATAGACAGATGAGAGCCAGTGGGCTGATGAAAAGTGGAGAGGCCCGATGAGAGCCGGTGTGAGATAGGACTTAATGAATTCCCCCTCTATCGTTGACTTTATATCTTGCGTTGAAGGTGCTGGCGTTCAATTGACGACGACTATTTCGCGTATATAAAGAGAGACATTTGGACTGCCAAATCGATTCAGCTCTCAATACTAATCGTTTATAGATATTATTTATAGAGTCTGGTCATGATGGGAATGCTAACTGGTCAGTGTCTGGTGGCGACACACGCCCGTCGGATGGAGCTGACAGAACGAGAAGACTACAGGAAATGTCTAGAGCYGGGCACTTGGTACACAATGGAGGATATTTCGTGTATTTATCMCGCATTGGAAAGACTACGCATATAAACTTCCAACGGAATGATGCACTGGAGGAGGTGTCGATAGTAAGGGCGTTAGAATTTTCCACAAGYGCAGGCATCCGAAAGATTGACTACTCCACTTGGAAATACCAACTAAACACCTTCTGATATAGSAAAGKACCAAAACTGGTSTATGCGTGGCTAATTGGCACACCAGACTAACCTTTAGSGTCTTCGACGTTTACTTCTGCTGAGATTATACTAATATATAGCTTAATATGAATTGAMTTGTCATAAATTTGACAAAAAGCTCGTCATAAAGGACTTCACAAAACATTTTGTGAAGACTATATTACTTACATTTCGCCTTTATGAACACGMGTCTTCAACAATTTCAGTATTACGTTGCTCAGAAACTCTCAAGATCTTCTGCAAGTATCAACAATCACAAGTCGAATTGACTCTCTCATTTCAAACGGAGAACATAACCTACAATACCACCATACAGCCTATTTAAATTTAGCATAAATGCGAGAATTTTAATTTGCAACAACATCTCTCCCCCACACAGAAGCCATAAAATTCCTTTTCCGCTTTTAATTCAATTTCGCTAATTTATAAACAATTTCATTTGCCAACTTTGAGTTCTGGCAGCAAATTGTTTGTGACACTAAAACCCAACAACAGCAAATACCGCAAAAGATAACTGTGAAGAAGAGAGTTCAGTTGGATTAATATAATAAAGCAAAAGAAAAAAATACGAAATAATACGAAAACGAAAGAAAAGAACAATACGAAAAGCCGAAATTAAAAACGACAAAAACAAATCAAAAGCCAAAAAAACAGACCTTTACAAAAAGTAAACTAACTGATCAACCAACAGGAAAGCAGGAGCAAACGAACAAAAAGACATCTTATATGCAAGCAACGACATGCACACATTTATTTACAACGTGCACGAAGAAGTGTTGGTATGAGACGCGACGAGCTGAGACGGCAGTACTGCTGCTGCTGCAGCTGCTACGTCGACTGCAGTTGGAGAAATGCTGATGCGAAGATTTAATAAATGAAATTGGTGTGTGATTAAAAACACAAAAACCAAACGAAATCCATCTAATCAACTTTGCTCGCCCCTACCCCCGCCAGCGTTACACAGTCGTCTGTGCGCCGCTGTAGTCACTCTCACACACACACACACGTACRCATGACGGTTGTAACAATTACAAGTAAGCACAAAAACAAACACCCACTCAGCCAAGTAGCAAGTGTATTTGTAGTAAAGTAACAACAACAAGCACAGGAATTCAGCCATTTTGCAATGAGTAAGCATGGCTCGCACGGCGCACAAAGCGACTGGATGCTCACGGCGTCTTGCCGTCGGTAGACAGCAGCGAACAGCCATCTTCAGCACCATTCGCAAATATAYWMGTRTRWGTGTGTGTGTGTTCAGGCTGCTGCTGCCTGTATAACCCGAATTGCACTGAATATGAAGATGTAGCAGTCGAAAAGGAAGAAGTAGAAAATCAACTCATAAAAATACAAAATTACAAGTGTGTGTGTTGGCACTCATACACTTGCAATTGGGGAATGTTCTTATGGGCGGAGCTACGCTTGTTGCTGACTGTGTTAGTGTGTTATAGAGCGCCTGTAGGGATGGCGAGTAAATATTGGGTTATTTTGAAGAGTTTTAATTATTAAAAAACTGAAATATAGATGGCGCTCTAACGCAGCAGAACGGTATGTGTCAAGGTTTAGTTAGAAATTAAGTCAGAGAATTTGCAACATTTTTACATTTTTGCCAAAATTATTGGCACCTTCTCATTCTTATATGTTCTCTGATTAACTTTCAACTTTATAGGTCCTCAATGGATTTGATAATTTAATTGCTYGAAAGAAACAGATTTGCTAGAATTTTTGCCTTTATTTATTTATAGTGAAATTCCCCTTAGTACTTATGGCTGGACAACTCCCTAACCAAACAAATTTTATRAACACAACTTTTTCTTAAATATTTGCATACAAAACCAACTCCTATAACCGGATATTAATATGTTCCAATGACCGGACACGGAAACTATTTTGATAATATTTCGTTCAAATTATCTTTTAAAAACGGGCAAACTTCATCAAATTTCTCTGGAAWATTATGTACAATTTATGGTTAATACTTTTATAAATTGGTAATAATCTTTGGTGTTTTGAGACAGTTTTTAAGAATAATATGTAAAATTAACACATCAAACAAATCATCTTGCGCTGGTGTGSTCTACTTCGCGGTGGCTCAATGGAAGCTAATGGGATAATTATCATTCTTTCATAGGTGGCTGATATTGGCTAGCATTTATTAGTTGATTAAAATATAGTTACACAGAACTACACTTGCAATTGGTTACACAGAACTATATTTTTACTTAAATAATGCATAATCTACGCCCCCATATATGGTCAACTTTCTTAGCCGGACAAAAACACTGCGACGGTGAGTGTCCGGTTATGGTGAATTTCACTTGCTTGAAATGAAGGTAACTTATAATAAAGTTAAAGAAGAAAATTAATTAAATCTGTAAATTTAATAATAATAATGCCCACTTACCAATTGCGTATATTTTGAAACATAACTCTCCAAGTTTTGGTATTATTAGTAACTAAATATATATTGAATACTTTCCAAAATGTGTCATTTTTATTAATTGCACATTTGTTAAAAATAAAAATATTTCATCACACATTCCTTTATTTTAATTTTTATGTATATGTTTTATTAAAATAATTAGCTATGAATACCAAATATTTTTTAAACACCAATATTCGGAACTCTATTATTTCAGAATAATCTTAATTTTGAAATCCAAATCACTTGCAAGCACTTTTCACACTATATCATATACATATAAACACTACATAAACACACAAACCCACTTGYCACAAATTTTTTGTAGCACAACTATGGCGGCGGAGACGCACCAACTTCAGCAGCGGAAAAAACGCATTAAACTGAAACATATCACGCCAAAAACACACACATTTTCTTTACCGACAATTATATTTAACTTTTTTATAGTTTATAAAACATTTAATAACATAATATTAACAATTTATTGAAATTGAAATGCACCACAACGAATTGAACACACGATTGAATTTATTAACTGACACGAACTGTCAAAATTTACCGGTTGAGAAAAYAAAAGAAGGAAGAAGAAAAGCGCAACAAGTAATCTGGGTTGCATCCGCTCAGTTTTTTAGCGGAACTGGAGGGCATGATGTTGCCGTATTAAACGTGGATAATTTTAGATATTATTGAAAATATTTMAATAATTTAAAATATCAGTTATTACACTTAATTAAAATTAAAGAAAAGATTTTAAAAATTAATAAGAGCTTTTTAATAGACGCTTTTATTATTCTTAAACTAAATTGAAAATAGTCCATTGAACATACTATCGTTTATAAAGTACAAATCCAATTAGATTCTCTCGCCCAACCGGATATTTGCATTTCAGGCTTACCATTGCTTCAGAAGGAAAACATGTGGATTCCAACTGACCCGTTATAAAATTTACCTACAAGCAAAATATATTTTATTTTGACATTTTAGTTCATCGCCATATCAAACAATTTTATTTTATTAAYTTAACACAATTCTTGAATTAGCTATTCTTTATTTATTCTATGAAAAATATACATTTCAACAAATTTTTACCATTCAACAGGTAAGTAATTTTGTTCACAAACAATGCAACCCTGTTTGCCACTTGCGCTGATCTTTTCACACTAAACGCGCTTGTTTTTCTACTATTTACTCCATTCCATGCTCATTCTGCTCACCTTTCTTCAGAGAATTTCTAATTAGATGTGCGCTCTGCTAATCTACTACAGTCAATTAGCTCTCGTGGTTTGCAGGTCGCACAARTAAAGTGCTGCTACTAGATTCAAACGGGTATTCAACAGATTTTAGTCCGTTGCGATTTGATGTGAGGAACATTTGTATTTAGTTCGTACGCTCTCTCGTGCACTGCGTTAACATTTGTTGTTACTAGTGTGTTTGTGTTTTTTTTTTATTATTATWTTTACTTTTATACTCGCTGTGCGGTATTTGTACGAAGGWATGTGTGTGTATGCACATGTGTGACGTGCTGCTGTTGTTTTTACGAACTCCCTTCGCCTGCGCCTTCGGTCAAACGCCATTTCTAGTTTTTTTGTCGTACGGTGAAGAAGGAAAATTCGTGCTTGATATTACATACGTAGAATTCTGCAAATTTATAATTTATTCTGTAAGTGAATTCGATCGAGAAAAGTGCTGTGATTTATGCTGTGAAGTGAAATATCTACAAATGTGCATAAGAAATACATATCTACACACTTATATTTGATAGCGTGAAATTCATTCCTGCAAAGTCACATTACATACATACATACATAGATATGTGGGTATTGAATTGCATTTTAATGTGAAATGTGAATAAAGTGTGTAAGCAGTGAAATACGAAACAAATCGCCAGTTATTTTGGCGTGTGATCGAAAAGCAAAATATAACAAAAAATACAAGAATTAAACCAGAAAAACGACGATAACCTAACCCCACTAACAAATATTATTTCGTGCAAAGCAAACTACAACTCGCTGAAAATTTTGTAAAAGTTAATAGTGTGTGCACGTGTGTATGTAAGTATGTTTGGCCATGTCGCTTCTGCGTTTGCCCACCGACAACTGTGCAATGGAAAAAACATCTAACCGCAATCTCGCTGCTGCTACGCCACACACTACATATTTTATCGCCACATATAACTATTATTAAACGGTTTTAATATTTATGAGGTTATTTGTCGACAATTGCCTTCAAGTTTCGCGTTTTATTGTTGCTTGCGACAACAACAAAATAAAACAAATAACAGTTAGTGATTCGTAACAGTGCAAATAAGCGCTGGAGTTGCCATAAAGTCGTCTTAACTTTTTCTTGTTATTGTTGCAACAGTTGTGTGTGCCAAAGTCGCGATAAATTCTTTTTCGAAGCGACTACTGCTTATATTCATATACTATAAATGTGTTCCAATTAGAAGCGCAACAAATGGCCCATATCGACAAACTTAGTTGAGGCTTGTCCAACAATCAGCTGTTGTTGTACCTGTGTGCATAAACGTGCCCATTGCCATATGYTGTTGCTGTTGGAGGTGAACGGCGGACGTTGCTAACCACTTTTGACAGTTTGACTACGTAATCTACACTACATTCATACATACTGTATGTAGCTCTAAAAATTCCAACTTTTTAATTAATTATTTTATGGCCACTCAACAAGCTTTGATTTTTGATTGTGTCTGCAGTTTTTTTTTATGTAAACAAATGACAAATTGACCAGCACTTTGACGCACAGCCCTCGTGCTAAGTGACGAAAATAAAAATAAATTTAATTTTGACCAGAGAGCGTATAAAATAATATCCATACACACATGTGTACATATGTAAATGTAGAAAAGTCATGTTTATATGTCACAAATGTAATCATGAAAAATTTTATAAAGAATTTTGTCGCTCTTTAGCCGATTAATGAGTCTAGCAAGCATTCTCAGAATATGTAGGTGTTTAAACTAGAAATACTAGAGCGTATTCTGTATCAATTAGATATTTTAAATGTATATTGTTGAAATACATATGTATGTACATACATATATGTTTGTAAGTATGTGTATATACATACATAGGTGCGTATCTTTTAGCGTTGTTTATATTTTTACTTTAATATGCTTTGTATGTATGTATGTATGTAAAGTCTTATATATTTTATAATTAATTTATTTATTTTGTCCTCTTTCTTAATAGCTAGTTTAATGAATCATTTTATTTATGTGAACCCATTAGTAAATTTATTTATTTTTTTTTTAAGAATATTTATGTATGTACATATGTATTTTATATGATATAGTACTTGTATAAATGTAACTCTGTTTTTGTGGTGTTATAATATTACATATTTTTGATATTGCATTTACACAAATACAATTGTCTGTAATTTTTAATTTCCATCAATTAGGTTTTAATTTTTATTAATTTTAATTTTAAGATTTTGAATGTTGTTATGAGATATATAATTGACTTTTTACTTACATCCGTTTTTTCTCAACGAACCACTATTAAGGATACCTGCCCGAGGAACTGGCCGATAAAAAGTCAAAGTTGTATGGGTGAGGGTGTAAGGGTTCTAAGATCTATTATATAGGGGTCTTCACAAAATTTTGAACCAATTATTTTTTTCTACATTATTACAATATTACAGCATATTRCTCAGATCGAATCTCCATTTATATCATATGGTTGTTAAACGAACTTATAGATTCATTCAAATTAAGTTACAAACTTTTTATTTATGAAGATTTAATTTAATT